CACACACACACACACATTCACGCACACACACATACACAAACACATACACACACACTTTCTACCCCCCCCCACCCCCTCTCTTGCATGGTTGTAACATTGTTTATGTTCGTAGTGGGACATTTGTAGTTTAGTAATAGACTTCTACTTCTTCTGTAACTCTAGCATCTGCGTTTGTCGCGGCCGCGAATTTGGGCAATTTTGGTCCGCGAATCGCGGCCGCGAATTTTGCATTTTTCCACAAAAAAGCTACTTCATAACAATATTAGACATGTATTGTGAGAATTTTAAGGTGTCCATGTATAGATATTTTCATGCAAAGGATGTGGGTACATTACATAGTACTATACATTGCTGTTTGTCTTTTAGTTTTCCCTTTATTGTGTTTTAATTTGTTGGTGTGTTAATTTTGTTTTTAATTGTTCTGATCTGTAGTTTTTCTTTTTTCTGTGTATACCGAACAATGTTATTTGATGTGATGTTGTTCTTACATTTAAAAAAATATAAAACCGAATACCGGCCCTTGTGTGTGGTTCCATAATTTACACGTTAATAATACCATGTACTTTTAAAAAAATTACACTCGTATATGGTTTTAAAAACCGGCCAATCTTCGGAAAAGTGAACACGCCCTTATTTGTTAATTTTTGCTCTTTATGTGCTATTCTAGTTTTGATTTCATTCTGTTGTGAAACCTGTATTTTTCACGTTTTTACACTCTGTAAGGCTACAAATGATGTTCTGGATGCTTAAAACAGAGCCCAAGAAATTCTGGTGCTCTAGATTAAGTTATCTCTAACAACACATTGCTATATTATGCGTTATCACAGAGAGATGAAAGCTTGGAAATTAATGGCAGCTTTTATCTCAACTTTTGTCATTTTTGTGGCAACTTTTGGCAACTTTTGGACCCAAAAAAAATGGCAACAAATGCAGATGCTAGGTAACTGCCTGTTTTCATATTGTTCATATTTGTGAAATGTACTTACAATGGTTGCAAAGCCTTGTCTACTCAACATAACACATATTACGTTCTTTATTTTTGGGACATTTCTTGTGCCCTTTTAGATTAGCAACTAGCTTGTTGTTACTGCAATACCTTTTTGTTGCTTTACTTCTTTACTCTGTTCATTATCTTTTATTAAAGGTTTATTTAATATGATGTAAGTATTGGTTTATTATATCAGAAAAAATAGTAACGTTTTAGCTGCCCCTTCAAAAGTATTTATTGTTGAGCAAGAAATAGTCTACCGTAATTTTGGCCACTTGTTTTGAATGAAGCACGCGACGAGGGGCTCTCACTTGTGAATGTGCATTGTGTGCTGTGTTGGACAGCTCTCGCCGTGACCCACCTCGGGTGGCATGGCCTGTTGTTCCTAGCGTCTAGAGTGCACCGTAAGACAGGGATGAGTAATTCAGTAAAACCTCGGTTCAGAATATTCTGTTGAAAAAAATGTTCTCGACTGTAACTTAGTGTAGCCAAAGATCCTACACTTCACATTAAGGAAGTATGATCTTTGGTGTAACGATCACTTTCTGAAGTCCGGAGTCCCAGGTATACTTTTTTGCTCTTTAAGGGGGTTGAGCTACACCTGAAGGCTATCTCGCTTATTAGAGGACCAAATTGTATCATATTTCACACTTATAACAAGCATAATAAGGTTCAAATCCGTTATCAAATTTTAGAAAAAAAAGTGTTGTTTCCATGGATACGGCGGCCATGTCGGATTTTGTTGACATGTCTTACGTAATGAATAGCTCACTTATCGTTTTGTGGAAATTGATTGGGGGGGTTTTTCATGCACGTTAGCAAACATTAGATCTAAAAATTTGTTTGTTGATTTTTTCCTAAACTAATAAGACAATTTTTAATGAGTTATTTCCTGGGGTCGTACTCCAGTTTGCAAAAAAAAAAACCCAGTGAAAATCCACACTCCAGACACACAGAAAAAAATCTATTCCATATGTCAGAAAGTCAACAGAACATTTTTAGTATTACATCTTCTCTTCATTCTGTGAAAATTTCCTGAAGATAGGAAGCAAAATGGTGGAGTTATTTTTAAAAGTATAGATAAAAATCACGTTTTGAGAAAACGGCCGATAAAGAAAATTAAAATATTGACTTTATGAGGAAATGGTGATGATGAACATGCCCGATATAGGAATGAATGCGGTTTTGGGGGGTTCTTATGCGATGGAATAGTGGTAGGAGAGGCTGAGAAAGCTAAAAATGCCTACAACAATTCCATAATTTTTAGCCGAATCGGGACTTTGGGAGTGTAGCCCCCCCCCCCCCCCCCCCCTTTTCTCCTTAAAGGCTATGTCTAGGACATACATGTGTAAAACGTTGTTTTTTCTAATAACATGCACTTTTCAAGGGATTTGAGTGTTCTAAAGTTTATAGCGGACATTGTACATTGTGAGAATAAACAACATGGCAAAAAGCGACAATTTTACGTACTCAGGAACACAATGAGATCAGCTGCAGTGAGAGGGAAGGCGATTTTTTTTTCAGAGTTATACACGTTATGTTAGTGTTTAGTACTCGCGGATTGTTAGTTTTGCCACAAGTGGACGCTCGGAACCACTACCCCCGCCCTCACCCCCCCCCTCTCTCTCTCTCTTTCTCTCTCTCTCTCTCTCTCTCTCTCTCTCTCTCTCTTTCTCTCTCTCTCTCTCTCTCTCACTGTCTCTTTCACACACAAGAAAAAACTAAACTAAAAACAAAGACGTGACCACGCAATGGTGAATGAAGTGAGTAAATATTGCTTAGCAGGCATCCCCCCCCCCCCCCCACTCCCTTTCCCATTTTTACCACAGTATTAAAATGAACAATTAAAATGAGCAACGGAAAACATTTGGTTATTTTCCTTGATTTTGTGGTCCTGACGGCTAAGTTAATTTGATCTTTTTTCCCTCCCTCAGCGACATCAACTCAGTCGACTGTATAATTTATGCAAGTCTCCTCTTTTTGCTGGCAAAGCAGGACCAAATACACGTGTTCCACGCTATCAACGCAAGATTGCGCTGCGCGTTTTAACAACCGTAGTACTTATCTCAAGATTGCGTTCATATTTTTAAAATACATTTTATTAACAAAAATTCACTTCCATCTTTATTCTTTTACTCACATCAAGGAATATTGACATATATTTTTAAAACTGTAAATATATTATGATATATTTAAATTGAAATTAAAGTTAAAGTACACATACAAAACTGAAGAGCTCACAAGAATGATACAAATATACGATCGTTCAAACGCGCAGCGCGGTCTTAAGATTGCCGCGTAATTATACGATTGTTCAAACGCTGCATCGGTAAATAGTACATAGGACATACAAATGCAAGAATGTGTTAAGCTAATGATAAGGGGCTATACAACTCATGGTCGAATGCCCAGCTGTAAACTGGAAATACTATGACAGCAAGCACGCTGATTGGTCAAGCCACGACGGAGCTCTGGACGCCTCAGCCAACGGGAACGGACCAATAGCGCTACCAGACGCATTTTTGCACTGCGTGTGTGTGTGTTTGTGTGTATGTGTGTGTGTGTTTGTGTGTGTGTGTGTTTGTGTGTGTGTATGTGTGTGTATGTGTGTGTATGTGTGTGTATGTGTGTGTGTATGTATATGTGTGTGTCTGTGTGTATGTGTGTGTGTGTGTGTGTGTGTGTGTGTGTATGTGTATGTGTGTCACTCATAAATACAACCATAGAACAGTGTTGAAATACTGATTATGGGTTATATAAAGCAATGGTAATTGCCAAGCAGTAAGTGTATGCTACACCACTGTGTGGGAACCATGTTTCCTTGCGCATTCAGCTAAGTTTTAGCTGATGCGTGCAGTTCAGTAAAGTGCCATCCCACACGTCGGAGGACCCGAGTCAGGCTCTCCCACTTGACGCTGTAAAAAACAAATTGGACGATATATCATCTATTCAACAGCTTTCAAAACGTGTAGAGAAACTTTAGGTATCACAACCTATAGATCTATAGATCTATGATGCCATCGATAATACGTCATGTATATCTAATTCAGTTCCATCTAGAGCTAGACTTGGTGCTGTCGCTGATCACATAGGCCTCGGCTTTCAATTTCAACCTGAAGACAACAACAACACCGAACTTCCTTCATCCAATGTGCTGACAACGCCGAATGAGCCCAG